TTTCCAAATTTCCAAAAGATATTTTATAATTGACATTGAACCTTATAGAATATTGTGGTAATGCAATATGGTTAATATCATCTAGAGAGTGATCGCCTTCCCTGTTATTTCCCGGATCGAGTAAATATTAATAGAAAATATGGAATTTATAAGTGGAATAGATAGTGATCTAAGCAGATATATAAAACAAAATGACGCGAACCCCAGTACATGAAAAGGCAACAATTTAATCAATTACATAAATAATCGTGATAATACATTACATTAGAAAGATATACTTCTTTTTGAAATAAACCATTCACCGAAGTTCAAACACAAATATACTTATATAAATATTCGATCTGTTTAAATGATAGAATTAGTTCATCATAAAATCATAACCTGATTGTTTCCGGTTCAGTCCAAATTTGCATTGACTGTTCTTTAACTTCACTGTGACTGTTCGTCTGGGTCCTTCCCACTTTCTCCAAACCTTGCCTCTTTCGGCCCTCCAACTGTGTGTGGGTAGGTGGATACGTAAGTACGTTATACGTAAAAACTTCGATATGTAAGTACGAGAATACGTCCCGTGGAGCTATTTCACCTTCCCCCCAAAAAACATCCAAAAAAGCAACCTAAATCTTTTGTCACATATCCTACTGTGAATAGATCATTACTCCCCTCTCATTACATAAGATATAGTTTTATTGGAATTAAAACATATACAAAGGGCTATCTGGTCAAGCTAGAAATGGCAGACCGTAAGAAAAACCTACTTTCATAAGAATTATGTACTTTGTAATGGCTTTTTCATCTCTGGCTTCATTAACATCACACCGACACACCTAGCAGTTCTGTTCTCGTCTTAATTACACAAATGAATGAACACAATTCACTACAAGGCTTAACTACGTTATTTCGAGCGAATACACACATTCTAGCCTATAGCATATATAAAATCGTCCTTCATGGTTTAACATCGTTAATTTCAGTCAAAACACACTCAAGTCTTTATCATTCGTGAAATCATCTAAGGTCGGAGAATTTTGATACATATTTTCCTTTAGCAATCAAAAAAACATTCTAACGATTCGTTAAACTTATAAGGAATATAATTTCAAGGGTTCATATAGATGAACTCACACAATTGTATCCATGACAAGAAAATTGATCTAAGAATCAAAACAAATAAACTCATGCAAATAAAGCAGACTATTCAATAAATTATTGTTTATTTCAACGAATTCCACGAGACTAACACAATTACCATGTGTTTTCAAGCTTTACGGCTAGAAGTGTATCTGTCTATTTTCAAGAAATTCGGATACTTGGATAATTATTTACAAGTGACTTTTTTCTAATTTCAACCTGGGGTCTCTTACATTTGTTCTCCCTTGCAGAAAAGCGTAGACTAACTAAAACTTTTATAATGGAACAAATTAAACTCCACAGTATTCGTATGGGAATCACGCTCATTATCTGGCGTATCCAATCGGAATTAAATTTCTCCCGCCTTAACTTATGTGCCAAACTATGTTCCGCCTGATAAACCCAGATTCATAAAATACTAATTTTGGAAAATTTCACATCTGATAATTACGATACAAAATCAAGCATTGAACTCTATCCCACACGTTAGTCTGACGGTTAAATAAACGAATGGTTAATTAAGAATCGTTTATATACTGACACAGCCATTACCAATCCGTGCATTATGGTGATTAAAACACGCGGCGGTCCCAATAAATTTGACCAATCGTTCACCTGCCCATATTAATATACTTTTCATAGATTATCATAAACTTGCATTCTTACAAAGATGAGTGCACAATATCAAACATAGTGTTTGTTGAGGAAACCTGACCATAAGTTCAATGTTAGTTAATCCTTTCAAATTGTGTATTTCAACAGTGTAACAGAAAATTATCTTGTTTGCGCATGCACGTATTCCCTAGCTGTATCAAAATGTTGACATATGAATCGAATAACATATGATCTGTCCTATTGTACAATTTAGAATAAATCACAATAAATGGCGTTTTAAGCTGGAATAGATTAAAATATTTATGTAGCTGACAAAATGATATAGTTACTGTGGCAACATCACTTTTCTCCGACTTGTATATTTCAGTATCTCACAATAAAATATATTCAATACATTTTCTTATTAACGTTACAAATTACGTTCTAATCGTTAAATCTAATTATAGACTTCACATACGTAGAGTTTGATTATAGGTCTTATAAGTATAGAAGCCCTTGAAACACATAAAGCACTGGTGCCTCATAGATTGCATTACGTTATTACCAGTAATAGATATACAAAATAACGCTTACAGAAGTAAAGGTCGCATGAATGAACATGCTACAGATTACCAACTTAACCGGCTTGTTTTATTTGACATTGAATTATGAAGCCATTAATAACCCAATGTATATTTTTATTCATTGCTTATAAACGTCAGCTTTATTACTTAAATATTACCCTATTTACAGTTCTACGGGCACTTTAAACTTTAGTCAGCACCGATGCATTTTATATTTGTTTTTTTTTGTTGTGTGTTTTTCTTTTTGAAAGATCACTTCTGTTTAGGCATTATGGGATTTCGGACTACATATAAAAATATAATTTAAAAACATGCAATACCTAAGCACATAAGAATTACAAAACATAAGTACTTCATTGAGCATGTGCAATTTTACGTTTGGAAAAATCATGTGCTACACATTTTTTACGGAGAATGTTATTTGGTTTAAAAGACACAAACGACATATTTAGAATGACGTTAGCAACAAAGATATGAAGAAGTAATATGTTTGTAACTATTTCGTTAGACTTTTAATATATATATATATATATATATATATATATATATATATATATATATATATATATATATATATATATATATATATATATATATATATATATATATATATATATATATATATATATATATATATAGTGCCTTTTGGGTGGAATCTCTTATACAAACTCAATATAAGGTGTAATGCTAGCGTATACATACGTTTCATTTTGTGACGGATAGATGTTTAGACCTTATGCTACATTAGGTTGTTTAGATAAATACATATTACATTGACTCCCCAGGTTGCGAACTCTTATCGATAATTTATGGTGTATTTTTCTTTTATGTGAACACTTTGCATATGTATTAGATCAGTTAGTTCCTGCCCAATTGGCACTTGGTGCCAGAGGGTCTAAGTAGTTTAAAAGTATTCGGAATATTTAATAGGTATGAAAAACATACATTGGTTTTCATATAGGTACCTGTTTGTAAAGCGACGATTTGGCGGTCCGCTGAAGGTTGTTACATAACAGGAGCTTTTTCTATCTAATTGAAGGTTTGAATGGACGCGATAAAACACGAGCGTGTCCCTGAGTGAGTTTTGATTACAGTTAAATGGTAAAAAAAATTATGCCCTGGAAACATTTAAAAATGCAATGACAGCTAGATGTCTCAGTCGCATCGACATCAGGTCAACCTGTTAGCCCCGCCACTCCCCCTCCCCCGCCCTGTTATATTTCTGGATCCGACAATAGACTGTGGCTTGTTTTTTTCTTTCTATTGAGTGTTATATAATTTTAATTAGTTCCATCATTGTTTGTAGGAGAAACATTTTTAGAAAATTTTTTAAAATCATTATTTGCTTACAATAAGATCTTTAAAAAATGAGAGGTAAATAATTATATTATCCGCGACGAATTTGGTTCTTCTTTTCTTCGTAGTGCCAGCTTTGCTTCCTACTGCTGTATGTTCCTTAATGTAAGGATACAAACATTAGAAAAATAATTTCCCAACATATTCTAACATGCGTGACACGCAATTATTACGATTGGTGTATTAGTTAGGATCGCAATAATTTGGCAGCTTGTACTAGTTAACCTCTTATGCTCGGAAGCAAGAATTTAATTTTAATTAGGGACCGTTCGATAACTGTTGGAAACCTGGAAGATGCCAATCTTAATTTACGCAAGGTCAAAAGCGGAAAATAACAATAGTTGAGACAAAAAAGGGAAAACTGTAGGACAACTTGGGCCATTTGAAACAAGTGTCATAAAATGATATTTTCCAGAATAGTTATTAAAAAGGCATGCTAGTGAGGATTATTCCGACTTCGATGGTAGTGATAAAAAAATCAGCTAAACGAGTGGTTGTGTGTGCCAATATGGAATTCAGGCATTTTAAAAACGTTTCGTCTCGAGATTAGTCATTCTAAGTTCTGAGGAAGGCCAGAATTGTAGTTCATTGAAATAATAAGTATATCTCTATGGGCGAGTGCGGAAATTGAAAGACTCCATAGGAGAGGTCTCGTGTTTTTCTATTCTATATCTCTCCTCGGATCCCCTATTTCATCAATTAATTTTATATTCTTTTTTATTGTTTACTCGATCTGAGCCCCAACACTACAATGGTCGATCATCTCCTTCATTATGATAACCAATCGCCATAATGAGTAGTAAATACCACACTTCATCATACAACTTCTGATACTTAAGAGACTAAATGATTTCTACAATTCTCTTTTTAAGTGAAACCGGACACTTGAAAATTGAATTGTACGTTTAAGACCTGTGCTTTACTATACTATTCCTACCCTACTACTACTTCTAGTAGTAGTAGTAGTGGTGGTAGCAGTAGTAGCAGTAGTAGTAGTAGTAGTAGTAGTAGTAGTAGTAGTAGTAGTAGTAGTAGTAGTAGTTCTAACACTTCATCATACAACTTCTGATACTTAAGAGACTAAATGATTTCTACAATTTTTTTTTAAGTGACACCGGACACTTGAAAGTTGAATTGTACGTTTAAAACCTCTATTCCTACCCTACTACTACTTCTAGTAGTAGTAATAGTAGTAGTAGTAGTAGTAGTAGTGGTAGTAGTAGTAGTAGTAGTAGTAGTTCTAACATTATTTTAGCTTTCAGCGATATCATGACTTCTCAAAGCAAGATTCCAGCTGAATGCAATAAGGCACATTTTACCTTATTAACCGTACACAACCGCTCCGGTGGCTTAGTGGTTAGAGCATCCGCCTCGGATGCGGGAGGTCGTAAGTTCGAAACCCCGGCCGATTCATACCAAAACTTTACAAAATGGTACTAACAGCTGCCTCGCTTGACACTCAGCATTAAGAGGTTAGTGTTAGGACTGGTCAGCCTGGTGTCAGGATAATGTGACTGGGTGGGACATCATGCTACATGTCTGCGGCATGATACCCCCGTGCTAGACATCACTATAAACTATCACAATGCAGACATCGTATCGATATAACTGAACAATTGTTAAAGCTACGTTAAAAATATGAATCACACACACACATACACACACACACACACACACACATTAACCGTACTTTGTATTGACCCAACTGGATTGAAGCGAGTTAACTTACCTTATATTGACCCATTTCCCCACTTGGACTGAAGAGACTTAAACGTATCTCATATTGAACCAGCTGGACTGAAGGGACTCAAAAATGCATTATATTGACCCAGCCAGACCGAATGGACTAAATCGTACATTATATTGACCCAACTAGACTGAAGGGACATAAACATACATTTTATTGACCTGACTGGACTGAAGAGACTTAAAAATACATCATAACAATCCAACTGGACTAAAGACTTAAACTGGAATAATAGGACTTAAACATACATTTTATTGACCCAGCTGGACTGAAGAGACTTAAACATACATTATATTGACCCAACTAGAATACATTATATTGATCCAACTGTACTAAAGAGACTTAATCTTACATCATATTGATCCAATTGGACTCAACACATTCATCATCACGTTATTTCCTCGTGTTTGATTCCCTGTTTGTTTACAGCTTACTTCTGACTTTGATCCCTAGGTAGCCTTGCATGTCCCATCTTTGGTGCTTTTATCCTATAGTTTTCGTTAATGTCATTCTTGTGTTCCTTCTACTAAATCTCATTCAATAACACGTGTAAATGCTGATATGAAGGGTTATTTGTTGTTTAGTAAGGGCGAATGTTCATTGCAAGACCACATGTTGCCTTACAGCAACACATGTTACATAATAATGTGACATGTTTTTAGTAGTCAACATGTAGTATAGAAGGCCAAATGTTGTATAGTAATCACACATGTTGCATAGTAGGAAACATGTAGTATATTTGTGTCACATCTTATATAGTAGTGACACGTGTTGCATAGTAGGAAACATGCTTTATAGTACACTACATGTTATTTGGTAGTGACACATGTTGTATAGTAGGCCACATGGTGTATAGTAGTGCCACATGTTTTATTGTAGGCCACATGGTGTATAGTACTGCCACATGTTGTATTGTAGGCCACATGGTGTATAGTATTGCCAAATGTTGTATAGTAGGCCACATGGTGTATAGTATTGCCACATGTTGTATAGTAGGCCACATGTGTATAGTATTGCCACATGTTGTATAGTAGGCCACATGGTGTATAGTATTGCCACATGTTGTATAGTAGGCCACATGTGTATAGTATTGCCACATGTTGTATAGTAGGCCACATGGTGTATAGTACTGCCACATGTTGTATTGTAGGCCACATGATGTATAGTATTGCCAAATGTTGTATAGTAGGCTACATGGTGTATAGTAGTGCCACATGTTGTATAGTAGGACACATGCATTATAGTACACCACATGTTTTTCGGTAGTGACACATGTTGTATAGTAAGCCACATGGTGTATAGTAGTGCCACATGTTGTATAGTAGGCCACATGGTGTATAGTAGTGCCACATGTTGTATAGTAGGAAACATGCATTATAGTACACCACATGTTTTTTGGTAGTGACACATGTTGTAAGGTAGGTTACATGGTGTATAGTAGTGCCACATGTTTTATTGTAGGCCACATGGTGTATAGTATTGCCACATGTTGTATAGTAGACCACATGGTGTATAGTATTACAACATGTTGTATAGTAAGCCACATGTGTATAGTATTGCCACATGTTGTATTGTAGGCCACATGGTGTATAGTATTGCCACATGTTGTATAGTAGGCCACATGATGTATAGTATTGCCACATGTTGTATTGTAGGCCACATGTGTATAGTATTGCCACATGTTGTATTGTAGGCCACATGTTGTATAGTATTGCCACATGTTGTATTGTAGGAAACATGGTGTATAGTAGTGCCACATGTAGTATAGTATTGCCACATGTTGTATTGTAGGAAACATGGTGTTTAGTAGTACCACATATAATGTAGTAGTGCCGCATGTTGTTTAGTAGTGCTACATGTAGTATAGTAGTGCCGCATGTTGTTTAGTAGTGCCACTTCGTGTTCCATAGTAGTAACACATGATTAATAGTAGGCTACATGGTGTATAGTAGTGCCGCATGGTGTTTAGTAGTGCCACATGTGGTATGCTAGTCCACATATTGCATAGTAATGACACATGTAGAATAGTAGCCAAATGTTGTAAAGTGGCCATTTGTTGTATAGCAATACCACATGTACAGTGGTGTCATGTGATCTCTAGTCACAGATACAGAGTATTGTATTGCATTTCCATGTGCATGTGTGTAATTTTGTTGAATTTATTAATATAGTATTAAACTGCAAACACAACCAACATTAAATTTTGTTTGTGGGCCACTGCACGGCCTCCATCCCTGCTGCAACGGGCCCTAATCACGTGCCTTGCGTGCCCATGCTTTAAAACGGCACTGATCACATGTTGTATAGTAGTGCTCTATTGTGTATAGTAGAGCCACATGTTGTACAGTGTGTCACACTTTGAGTTTGACTGAAAAATGGATATAGGGGTTTTCTTAAAGGGACATGATGCAAGTATGTGCTCATGGTAAAACATACCAAGATGATGGAAACACCATATTAAACAAAAAATGTCATTAAATCGAGATATATTGAATAGACCGATTATTGATAGTGTCAATTGCTGTTGAAAATATAAACGAGATTCACATATACATCCATGAATAAAAGCTGATAAAAAAATTTTCATGCAAGTAACATCATCGCTCTTTTCTCAGAATTAAAATTAATGACCTGACAGAGAGACGTTGCTATTAACAGAACGTTAAGAAATGAAAGTGTGGTTTGTTTCACCTTACCTTCCAAGTCGCATCATAATACAAGTATCAGCTGATGACAGACATTAATTTGAAAGAAAAGTGCGAATGTTTTCACGGTAAGAGGAACGTCACTAGGTCCAGGTGTAAATGTCAGTGTTTGTCATAACTATCCGGACGTTTATATTCCATGCACCAATTGCTCCTTGAATAAACGTTTTGCTTCGCAAAGCATTATTACTAACAGAGAACAAGAAAATTTTGATGACTTATTGCGGATTTTAAATAAACCCAATTTGCCTGAATACTCAATGCATACAGCACAACCTGTTTAATGTTATATTCTTGTTTCATCTTCCCTTTTATGCGTTAGAAGTTATGTAGATAGAAGCGAGTATCTTAGTAATCAGTTCCAAAGATTTGACTCCGTTCCCATAATCTTTCTGCTATTGAACATCTCAGATAGTACTTATATCTTATAATAATAATAATAATAATAATAATAATAATAATAATAATAATAATAATAATAATAATAATAATAATAATAATAATAATAATTTTTATTATTTTGAAACACCGAAATTTAGATCATGAGATTTAAAGCTTTTTGTGCAACACCAAATTTTGTCCTTGAGATTTAAACCAACATGTTTTGATTTTCTCTTCAAGTTTATGGTATTTATATTTAGTGTATGCGTTCGTAAAATTTATCATGTTATATGAACTTGTGTTCTGTGCCTTATTAAAAACAAATAATTTAAAACATGAATACAATTGTTCTAATTAATTTACAGGCATCACATATATCTATACTATCTTTTACGGTGCCTCATTGCCATAACTGTCATATACCGGTTTGGGTTGGTAGATTTAACGCCATGTTTCAGCACATTATGGGTCATATGGGAGTCAGTGATTTTTGGCAAAAACTTCCCAGAAAACCATGGCCGAACGGATAATCGAATCAACTCGGACATAGGTGAACTGCTAGTGATCTTTGAAGGCGAGCACCTTAAACCACGCTTAATATATAGGTAGAAGATTCACGCATTCAAAAACAAGAAGAGGAACAAATTTCTTGATGACTTTTAGAAGGTAGTCAGTTGGAGTGAATATGCACACACATGGCTTATAATGTTTTATAGTCTACATTGCATAAAGTTTAGTAATCCAGTTTTCGGATGGTAATTTCAGTTACATTTGCCCACTGGTAATGAAAATTCATAACAATGTAGTAATTGGTTAGAAAACGTATATATTGACTTTATAATTGCTTCAGCCAAGTCATTGTTACGATGCGTACAAAATACATCTGGTATAGATATAAACAATAAATAATAATATTCGAGTAAAATTCATGATTGAATTTAGAAAAGCACGATTGGATAATTCATTTAAATAATGTGTACGCCATAGCCTCACTGGATGTTTTCAAATAGTTATTTAAATACTTTTGATAACAAATTTAATAAATAAAAACAAAATTAATGATTATTATTATTTGAGGTAATAACCTTATAAATGTTACGAGATGTTAGAAGGTGACCCAAAAGCAAGCTCCTCTGCTCAGCACCCCCACAACAAAATCTAAAGTAAAAACAAACAATGGCAACAAGAAATAAATCTTTAGAAATACAAAGACAGTATTTTGATGAAATCCTTACGTCTCAGCTGGAAGGTCATCCCAAAAGCATCCTAGGGCAGGGCAAGATAGCAATACTGTTAGTATCTTCTTACGACAAGCAGAGGGGTTGGGTGGGGTAGGGACATCGGGCGTATTCTTCATCACATAGTCTGCAGTGGACCAGATGTAGGTAGATAAGGAAAGATAGCAAAGCAACGTAAAATTAATTTTTCTTTTTTGTAATTAATATTCAGCTGAGCAGATACTACACTATATATAGATAGTGATCTTCTTGTAAGATGTTAAAAGATGCAAATTTTGAAATAAAAGCTCCAAAAAACAAATGCGAACGGAGGCAAGCTTTTCAAACCATGAATGCCT